TATTGGTTGAATAATAGCAGGAGATTCAAAGCCAACTAAGTATGTCATACACCATTGATTAGATTGGAGTTGTATATTATCGATAGCTCCAGCACAGAGAGACTGCGGGCCATACTGAGCTTCTATGGGAGCCCAACTGAGAATGATTTCATAGATATCTGTAAAGAAATAATGAAAGAAACAAAATAAAACACATAATGTACACTAACTAGGACTTGAATGGATAATAGTACTCTTTGTCATACCAGTTGGAACGCTACTAACTAAATCAACAATAGCATGTCCAGGACAATAAATTTCTACAATGATATATTCAGTAACATTGGAACCGATTGGTACACCAATACAAGCTAAAATAGAGTAAACGATTGCATATATGGAAAGAGTAAGGAATAAAGTTATATATAACTTACCTCGGTTTGGTAGATTACCAATGATAGCAGGTGGAATAGTACAATTCAAAGTGGAAGATAAAGTATAACCATAGAAAAGAAATTGTATTGGAACAGAACTCATTGGTGTTGTAGATGAACTACTATAAAAATCTTCAATTTGTAATGCTACTGCGGCATACACTCCAGCAAGTGTAAGCTTAAACTCAAATGTGCAAGTACTCTCATTAAAATAAGAAACATTAGGAACACCATTACATGCACCACTACATTCATTGACATTGTTAATATTACCTGATGAACTCGACCATCGACATCGTAATATATCGGTTTTGTCAACATAATCAGCCATTTGAACAACATGTAATTGTTTAATATTAATTTGTTTGTAAATAATAGGAAGACTGACAGCAATAGGACTGGTATTTATGTAACCATCGGGTCTAATAGTAGTGTCGATTCGACAGACAACACTCCATGGCTGGCCGCCATTAACAACAAGATTATTGAGCCAAGCACTTGCATTAAAAGCAATACTAAATGCGGTATTTAGTGGAAATGTTTGATTTTCATAATGTTCGCCAGAACTAACAATAAGTGCAGCACTATAATCCGTACAGTTTACTAATGTATCCATTTTAGTCCAGTTACCACAATTACCATCAACACATGTGACATAATAGCTACCTGTCTGTCCGACATTACCATGTGCAGCTATTTTCGTATCATCACAGTTATAATAACTATTAAAAGTACGATTCCATGACCATCTTTCACGCACTTGAATGGTAACTGCATTGCCGGATGGAACATTATTCCATGGACGCCTATAAAATAGAATAATAATAAAAATGTATTAGTGGAAGACAATATATATATATTATGTACCATGTCATTGTACCACCACGAAAATGACTACCATGTAAAATAGTACTAAAACCTACTAACAAGATTATAAGCAATCGCAGGATCAACATCATTTATGTAATGAAAAAATGAAATGACTACAAAAAATTATGGTTTAAATACTCTAGCTGAGACTGTTTTTTTTTATTTGCGCACTTTCAATGGAGCAGAGGAATAGAAGAAATGGGAATATTACCATTTCAAAAAACAAAAATCTTATTTTGAGATGTAAACGTCTGCCTGGAATAAATACAGACATCGTTCGTTTTTTAAAAAAATTGGTAGAATTTTTTTTTCTATTAATGTATTTACGTAAAAGAAGAAACACAACGAATACACAGCTTATATGTTTTCGCCTATTTTAAATGATTAACATGGGGAATTTTTCATTTATTTTTCTACGAAATCTTTCTTAGTTACATATTGAAATGATTACATTCGTCTACCGTTAAGAGTTTTGTTTTGATAACAAAAAAGAAACAATGATTCAATGCATAAGTTTTTATTTTCTTCCATTTTTTTCTCGATTCGTATTATAATATCATAATTAATAAATCGACTTTTAATCACGTATTCTATTCTAAATAACAAGTATTTTAAATAATATCGTATAGATTTAATTGAAAAATATTTAAAATCAACCTTATATATGTATTTATAGTTTTAAATAATTCGAAAAATATATTTTAACTGGAAACTAGTTTCTAAAATGTAATCGGAGGTAATAGCAATAAAGAAGTGATAGTTTATTACATTTTACTGTATAGTTTTAATTAAAAATAAATTCAAATATCCAGATTTGATAATCTTAAAGTTCTCTCAATAAGACTATTCAATTAATCAGATATTTATTTTCAATATTTTTTTAAAACTATAGATTATGTGTTTTATGTGATTTTTTTTTCTTCACATACTCAATATATAATGTGTGATTCTCTTGCATAAATCTTCAATAGTATCAATAGTATATGACTTATTTGTTTTAGTTTTTGTTTTCTTATTAGATTATTTTTTCAAAAAAGCATTTGAGTTAAACTTTTTTGATAATTGATCCATGTCATTAAATTGATATATGAGTTGTTTTAAATAAATAAATGAAGAGAAGCCTATCGGCTATTATCTCTCATAAACTGAAACTAAAAAAAATCAGCATAAAATACTAGACAGAATTGTGGTATATTTGTATACTTTTTTCTTTCAATTTAACTGAAAAAAAGCAAGAAAAAACGGTAGTGCCTATAAGAACATAAAAATTGTTCGTTTCAAATACAAAATAGCTTGTCTGAATGGTGTAAGTGAAGATTCAAAATGCGAAGAAAGACTTTGTTTGAGTTGTTTTGATGTTGTTAATGCTTGCATGCATAATGTTGTTGAAACTATTCAACAATCTATTGGAGAAATACGACAAACTAAATGCACAGACATTTGCTATTAAAGTGTTTCGACGAAAATATATTGTTCTTTTGGTGGGAAAAATGTGTCTTAATCGTCAATCTCTGTTTGCTGGATGCGTGTGCAGGTGCGGGCGAGGGAATGGGTGTGGGTGTCCCTTGTTTAAAGAGAACACCCACACCCTCAAAAAAAATTGTCATTGAATTGTACATTACTTGATTTTAATCAGACAAAAAATAGCCATCAGAATTATAACTCATAGCATAAAGTATGAACAATGAAATCTTATTGTTTATCAATTATTGATAATGTAAAATTTATTCGTTTATTTAGCGACAATACTTTAAAGTAAAATTGTAGTAAATTTAATGCAAGAATTTAATCATGAATAGAAATGTGTAAAAATCTTTGATAATTCACCACAATCTATTAGGATTCGTATTTCCACTTTTATCGTCCATTAGATTATGGGATATTTTTAATATATTGATATAACTTTTATCTATCGTCTAAATTTAATAATTGCGACTTAATTTTACTTGATTCAAATGCGAATTGTATAAGATTGACATTTTCAATACAAGCAAGATTTATTGTTATTTAAATAACGTTCTCTATTTTTAATGTTATCAATTGTTAATTACTATATCTCTGAATTACATCGGTTCATTACATAGCCTGAATTAGAATTTTGTTTGAACAGAGTTGAGAGTTTTATTATACAAATAGTTTATTGTGTAATTTAAAAACTATATGTATTGAATGTATTAATAATAAAAAATACAACATAAAAGAAGATGTCGTGATATTGATTACACGTTTCTTGCAAGAATATATAGTTTATAATCAATATTCAAAGATTTTTTCTCAAGACAAGATCGTACGAATACACCTGTATTTGATACTGGAAATCTTTAATAAATAAATAATTTGTGATACGCTTATTTATTCTAAAAGATGCTACCTTGTTCCTAATTTATAACTTATTTATTAAATAAATAAATAAATAAATAAATAAAACTGTAACAGTTACTAAAATATAGAGAGAACAAATTATTCGATGTTACTATTTTACAGTCTGTTATGAAGTCATATTTTCTTCCAATCATATTCAATGAAAAAATTAAAGAACATCTTTTTTAACATATGAAAGATACTGTTACCAGTGGTTTAACTATGGGAAGGCAAATGGATAATTGGCCATTTCATTTGGAGATTTTCCCAGTAAAATTTTACTTTTTAAAATTTTTTTTAGTTTTTTTTAACTAAGTTGTAATAACTGTATTTTTTCTTTCGTTTGAAGCAGACATGCGCCTTTTCGGTGTTTTATCTAGCGGGAGGGCAGTGTGGGCATCGCCCTCCTGGAAACTGAGTTTGCCACCTCGAAAAAATGAAATAAATTTGAAAAAAATGCAAAAACTATTATACCTTTCTTAACTTTTTTGGAACATATTTAGAGAAACTGTTGAACAAAACACTTTTGTTAAAAATGAAAAATACACTCTCTTTATGTGATCTCACGATGACGATTTATCAGTTTAATCAGATATACGTGTCTTCTTTTTACATCATACCATTCCTATTGAACAAATAATAACATACATATACGACATGAGGGTGTGTTCTTTTAATCATCTATACACCTGTAGCTACACCCTCAAATTTTGTTGAGAATAGAAGATACTTAATCCAGTTTAAAAACAAGCAATTTTATTTACGGCTTTTTGTGGAAATTTTTACAACAAAAGAAAAAATATCCGAATGATCATCGAAATACATCTAATGCTGCCATTTACAGTTTCCTTCTTCTCTCATTACGTTCAACGAATTCATTGATGTCATGCATCACATTATCTCCGATTTGATTTTCGGAGACGTTTATTTTCGTGAGTATCTACATCAAAAATTCAAGATAAAAACATGATATAGATAAAGAGGAAATGAAAGTTACCGTATTTTGTTGTAATGCATGAACCAAATGTTGCCCCCCCAACATCTCCAATTCCATTATTTTCGAGATCTAGACTGATCAGTGTCTAGATGAAGAAGTGGAGTAAAAAACGTAGTATGGATAAAGAGACAATGAAAACTACCGTGTTATGTTGTAATGCAGCTGCCAAATATTGTGCTCCAATCTTTCCGATTTCATTCTTCGACAGATCCAGATTGGTGAGTGTCTAGTTAAAAAAGTGAAGGTAAAACCATGGTGTAGATAATCAGAGACTGAATAGTACTGTGTTGTGTTTTAATGCATCAGCTAAATATTGTGTACCAATCTCTCCGATTTGATTCCATGAGAGATCTAGTGTGTTAAGTGTCTAGATGAGAAAGTAGAGCTAAAGATATAGAAAGAATACGAATTACTGTATTATATCGTAAGGCATCAGCCAAATGTTGTGCTCCAGCCTCTCCGATTCCATTTTTCGAGAGACCTAGACTGCTGAGTGTCTAGAGAGAAACATGGTATAAATAAAGAGAGACTGAATATTACTGTGTTGTGTTGTAACGCATCAGCTAAATATTGTGCACCAATCTGTCCGATCTGACTCCACGAGAGATCTAATGTACTAAGTTTCTAGATGAAAAAGTAGAGTCAAAGATATAGAAAGAATACCAGTTACTTTGTTGCGTTGTAATGCATCAGCTAAATATTGTGCACCAATCTGTCCGATTTCATTTTTCGATAGATCTAGAGTGATGAGTGTCTAAATGGAAGATTGAAGATAAAAACATATAGTATAAATAAAGAGAGAATGACAATTACCGTGTTAAGTTGTAGTGCATATGCTAAATATTGTACTCCAAGTTCTCCGATTCGATTATCTCGGAGATTTAGTCTAGTCAGTGCCTAGATGAAAATGTGGAGACAAAGACATGGTATAGATAAAGAAAGAATAAGAGTTACTGCGTTGTGTTTTAATGCGTCAGCTAAATATTGTGCTCCTACATCTTTGATATCATTCCACGACAGATCTAGATTCGTCAGTATCTAGATGGGAAAATGAAGATAAAAACATAATGTATATAAAGAGAAAATAATATTTACCGTATTGTGTTGTAATGCATTACCCAAATATTGTGCTCCAACCTCTCCGATGCCGTTGTCCCAGAGGTCTAGACTGATAAGTGTCTAGGTGGAAACGTATAGGTAAAAGCTAGGCATAGATAAAGAGATAATGTGAATTACTGTGTTCTGTTGCAATGCATCAGCAAAATATTTTGCTCCATCCGAACCGATTTGATTGCTCGAGAAATCTAGACTAGTCAGCGTCTAGATAAAAAAATGGAAGTTAAAACATGGTATAGATAATGAGGAATTGAAAATTACTGTGTTGCGTTGCAATGCATCAACTAAATATTGTGCTCCAATCTCTCCGATGCGGTTATCTCGAAGATTCAGTGTGATTAGTGTCTTGATAGAAAAGTGAAGGTAAAAACATGATGTAGATAAAAAAAAGGTTAAGAATTACTGTGTTGTGTTGTAATGCATCAGCTAAATATTGTGCTCC